GGAGAGGAGAGGAAAGGAGAGGAGAGGAAAGGGAAGAGGAGGGGAGGGGAGGGGGGAGGAAAAAAAAGTGAAGTTGTGAAAGGTCAATAGCAAAGAACTCCAAATAAGAATAAGGAGATGAACTCACCTTATAAGGGTGACATATAAATCCCATTATTTTCCCCAATTTAGAATTGCAATCCTTTTGATGTCAAAACTGAAGAAATGATATATTCAAATGCTAAGCCTCTCAGTTAAATATGTAAAGCACACGTTTCCCTAGAGCCATCAACAGCAGGATAACCCAAGAATTTACACCTTTTCTTTCATCAGAGGAGAATTATTCTAACCGTATTATGTTTGATCACTCACACTATGGCCACATGTGCTTAAACGGATTGTGGCTCAACCTGGATTTACATCCTCTATTTCCTCCTGGATGTCAGGGGACTGATTCCTAAAGCACCTTTCTGGGTGCTGGTGGGATGGAACAGAGAAGAAATGCAAGTAGATTCTCCCAGTCCAAGGAATAGAGTGAAGTCATCTTTTAATCCAAAAACTGTTAACAGTTACATTGATTTTCTCTAAATCCGTATAACTTATGTTATTTCTTAAGTTAACTTGTACCAGCCACCTCTACATTTTACTAGCAATATTGGTTTGTTAAAACTCTCCTGCCTATTGTCGTCAGTAAATACCTTTACATCCCATAAACACCTGCCCCATTCAAAACAAGCACTTCTAAAGATGATTTTAAGTAGATTAAGGCCATCCTCTGAGAAAGCACATAATTTCAAGGAAGGATTTCTCTGCTATGAAAACCAGCAGTGTCAGAATCTCTAGGGTATTCTTTAAATTCTCTCTTCCACTTCCATTCATCAATTCTGATTCAGGAGATCTGGGATCTCATAGATCTGCCCTTGTTAGTGCAACTCCAGATAATCCAGGTACATGAGAACTAATAATAAAGGGAATAGAAATTAGTAATAGGTATATTTCATTAAATCCTGCAAACAATGATAGAAGGTAGATATTGTCATGTTAACTTTAAAGGAAAAAAAAATGCATAAATTGCCCAAGAATACTTGTCAAGGGTGTGACAATACAAGATTCAAACTCAGGCCTATTTCATATAAACAATTAACTATAAAATACAGAAGAAGGAAATAGAGTAAAAGCCAGAGGTCATGGGATCCTAAAGAGAAATAAGCTTTATTCTGATGAGGAGACCCAAGCTGGTAAGAGATGAACAAGGTGTCCAAAAGCAAAGCCGGAAGAGAAGAAAAGAATAGGTCAAGCTGCTACAGACTGACGAGTGTGTGTATTGCAGTGAATAGTTAATGAAGGTGAGCCAAGAAAGGGAGGTGATATCAGATCACAAGGGCTCTGAAGACCCTAATAAGGTGTCTAAGTTTGAGGAAGCAGATGGCATGATCTGATTCATGATTGCAAATGAGAAGAAAACTAAGTTGAGAAAACTAGTAAAAAGGTCCCTTTAGAGATTCAGGCTTCAACAGGGTATGGTGGTGCATGCCTATCATCTCAGCACTCAGGAGGCTGAGGAAGGAAGATCACTTGAGTCCAGGAGTTCTGGGCCAGCATAAGCAACATGGCAAGACCCTGTCTCGAAAATTACCACCACCCTCATCATTCACCATCATCATCACACAGGCTTCAGAAGTAGAGTACCTGAGTTTGAATGATGATAAATGAATAATAAATGAATGATAAAAATTCTAGACTAATAACAATCACTTATATTATTTATTATAAAAATGATTGCTTTCCTATAATTCTTTTTTTCTGTAATATTTATTTCTTCAGGAGTAAAAGTATAATATAGATTTTTTTTAAAGATAGAAAGTTAAGAATGACATTTGCAAATATGTTCATGCCTAGGCTACAGATTTTGGTAGGAATTGTGGAGAAACGGAGTTCATGAAAATGAACTCAATTCAGACTCAATCCTGTTTCAAAATAATTAGACCCACGTCATCATCTTGTTTCATTTTGATGTCAGTCATTCTAAAACCCCATACATTTACTTATCCAGAATCGATAATTTCTGAAATGTATAATAATAGTCATGGGAAATCCAAATATTAGTAAGACCTAAGTCAATGTCTGTCCTCAAGTCAGGCACAATCAAAAGGAGTATAAGTAGGCTCACATCCAAAATATAGCCCAAGGATAGATGACAATAGTATCAGAAGTCCCCTAGGAGAAAGTCTGTAGGGTGTTCCACTAAATACACATTTTTAAAATAAATATGTTTATAATTATGGTATCTGTGGCTTAACGTACTCCTCTGGTCATCTGTGAAAGAAAGAAATCCTTGGTATCTATATCATTACCCACTTTCTCCTCCTTCTACAGCATAAGCTCCAAGGAAACAGGATCATGGTCCAGGTTGTTTTCTCTCAGTTGTACCTAACCCAGTCTCCTATCCAAAGTGGCTTTGATAATAATAATCACAAGAGAAGTTCTCTGCACTATCTGGTCCATGTCAAACAGTGACATCCACTGGATCTCCAGGTCTGAACACCTCCACCATTTACATGCTGGCTGCTCTAACATTACACATGAATTGTCCTTGCTCCCCAGGCCTTCTACAACTACCGTGTCCTGGAATTACTTCAGATGCTGGTGACAGGAGGAGTAAGCTCTCAGATGGAACAACAACTGGATAAGGAGAAGTTCACTGGGTTGACTGACAGCTACTCTATGTATTCGTCTGGAAGAATGCGGTGTAAACTGGGGCTTCTGTCCTTAGAGCAAACGATTTTATCAGACATTCAAGTGAGTCTATTCTTATCATACTAGATTCTCTCACTTCCTGAACACTCCTAGTTTCTGAAAATTGTGTTGACTGTTTGGGTTTATAGATGGTCTACCACACAGAAATAATAATAGCAGTAACGAAATTAATACAATCTTATATTCATAGATTGTTTTACAACTCAGTGAATTTTCTTGTTATTTTTTGTAGCAATACCAGGAAATAGACAACGGAGTGGGTTAGTTATCATGACAGTGGACTTCTGGCAAAAGAACTAGTTTAGCCCATTTACCTTCTCTCTTGCAAATGTGCTGTCTTGCCCTTCTACCTTCTGCCATGGGGTGACACAGCAAAAAGATCTTTGCTAGATGTAGGCCCCTTGACTTTGAACATCTCTTTCTCTGGACTGTAAGAAATAAATCTTAGATCTTTATAACTTATTCTGTTACTGTAGCATAAAATGGGCAAAAATACCTAATAACTTTGTACCTTGACAAGGTTATTACTGATAATTATAATACTTAAAACTTACTAAGTATTTTCCCTGTGCCTGACTATTTTAGATTTTTTTCACTTAATCTGTCCAAGGATTTGTACAGTAGGCGTCATCATTCATTTCATTTAACAGATCAGAAAACTGAGGTTTTCAGAAGCAAGGGCTTACCTGAAGCCACCATATTGTTCAACGATGTCAGAGCAGGGTTCCATCTCAGGAATACCGTCCCAGGGTTTGACCATTCTTCCAGTAACCACAATGCTAAAGAAATCTGATCAGGTCAGCTGACATCAGGCAGAATAGCTCCGTGATTAAGTCAAAGAATCACAGTGGGCTAACCAGTAGAAAATGCTTGACTTTTCTTAATCCAGGTTGCTACTGAATGACCAATTATAGCAAAGGGAGGTGATAAGAATTCTGGCAAATTCCAGTAGCGCATCTAGGCATCAGAGTAGAGTGCAGACTGGACATGAATAATCTACTGATCAGTGTGTTGCTTTTTTGTTGCTTAGGGCCTGGCTAAATTATCATGGTTAGCTTTGAACTTGCAATTCTCCTGTCTCAGTCTCCTGAACTACTGGGATTCTAGGCATGGGCCACAACTCCAAGCGCTGGTTTGGTTTTGATTAATATTGTTATCCACCTGTCCAGTGTTATTGTTAGAGGCAGACCTTGACAAGGAACCATCTTTTTCTGGTTCAGTGGACATCAGAAAAAATTGCTCCCTTCACAAGGAGTATGGTGTTCCAGGCCTCCTTGCCCAGTGTGTCTCAACATATGCTACCAAAAAGGGCACATCCTATGCTCTTGGCATTGGAAGCCCAGGTACAAACAACTTTCCAAACACTCCCACAGTATTGTCTGATCTTGTGCATTTCTGTGGACCCGGGTGCCTCATCTGCAGTTGACTAGTGAGTGATTTTTATGCCCAGAGACTGCAGCTGGCAACCGCCTGCTGGTATCAGAGAAATAATAGATTGGTCTGCCCATGTGTCTTACCTTCACTCACTTTGCTCTTTTCCTAAGAAATCGTAGAACTGAGCAGACTGTTTTCTTTTGCCCTTTCTGAACCTATTTGTCCTATCTGCTGCTGCTTTTGAACTCATTGTCTATTTGTGATAAGTTTGTTGGCCAGAGCCAGAGACCAAATGTAAGAAGTCATCAGCTGGCAGTCTGAGGTCCCTTCGGCTGTGGCTCTCAACATCTGCTGATAACGCCAAGGTCACGGGTTCATTCCCCGTACGGGCCACCAAATGCCACAGTCCGCCTGGGCACAATCAGGAGCCACTTGTCAAAAGAAACTAACTTTATTTTTAGAACCACACATGCCAAACAAAACAGCTCCTCAGGAAAAACCCTCAGAGCCCAACTGCCACCACCGGCTTCCCACAAGCCTTTCCCCAAAACCACAAGCCTCTCCACCTCCCATAATCCTCCTGCTCTTGAGGCCGATTGGCTGGGTCGCATGGGCAGAGCCAAAAAAAGTCCCCCAATGAGCAGCTCTGTGGTCTGAAAGGGCAGGGAAACAGCCCAATAAGCATCACCACAGAGGAGCCAATCAGCTAGATGTTGCTAGGGCCGCTGTGAGCCAATCATCAGCTGGCAGTCTGAAAGTTTGCTGGGGCCCCTTCAGCTGTGGCTCTCAACAAGAAGTGTGCTTGAGATTGTGATCTCAGTAAGAGTGGGATAAGATGAGTCCTTGGGGGTTATCTAACATCCCAATCATGGACTAACTCAAAAACTGAATTTGGAACCCATTGCTCATTGATAATTCTCAATGATGGTTACCAAATAGGAAAAGTAATAAGAACACACATGTACCACATGCATCTGAGGCTCTCAGAAGAACTTAAATGACCAAAAAAAAAAAAGCAAATCACACAGATTAGTATCTCAAAACTAATCATCAGTTACTATAATTACCAAGTCACTAAACACTATTATCATAAATATATTAGGAAATGTCTTTCAGACCTTCTAAAGTTGGACCGCAAAAAAAAAAAAAAGGAAAATAACATTTGAATAAGTGCTTGTTATTGCTTGATGAATGTGCCCAGCAGACACGTTTTTCTCTCTTTTTTTTCACAGCCAAGAACCACCTTTGGACAACTATTCTGTGGCTCATTAGATTGTCTTGGAATCTTATGTGTTGGCTTATACCGCATGATAGATGAAGAGGCGAGCAACCCAGAACATAAAAGGGGAGTGTGCTAATTTGAAAAGTGCTGACCACCCACCCAAGCAGGAGAACCAAAGCTACTTTATATGTGAAAGAGAACTCCATAGCTCAGAGTCCACAGTTATTATGGAAAGATTCTGGTCAATCATGATGTAGGAAGAAAGAAGAATGAGTGCAAACAATAGGAATGCTGATGGTTAAGGTCCAATTAATATTGGCCTTCTAAGGAGGATGGAGTTTGGGACCCCAGTGAAAACTGAAATATGCAGACCTAAATTTTAAATAAGTTCTTTTGCAACCTAACTTCCACCCACGATTGTACAACTTTCTAAAGCTAAAGACATTGTCTGCATTGGAAAGATTTACTTGTTTTTTGCTGGACTCATTTTGTAAATATTTATTGAGTGCTTTTTTCCAACCACTGTGCTTTGTGCTTATAAATCAGGGATGCACTTTGTTCAGATTTCAACTTTATTAACTGGAGATCCTTCTGCCAGGAGTGTGGAAGAGAGAGGAAATGTATATAGAGGATATAAGAAAAGAAGATACCATTCTAGAGATAATACAATTGTTCAGGCCCTAGACAAGATTCTCACAGTAGAATGCACAGTAGTCAATAAAGAAGGAGGAATTAAAAATGATGGAGTGGAAATAGACAATTGAAACCCATTCCAGGAGAAAAGAGAAAGGAACAAAACAAGTAGAAGAAAAAAGTCCCTGTAATTTCTCTATTAATAAGAGAAAAGGAGAGAAATAACAGATGCTTAGGAAGACCTATAATATATCTAGGTGGGAGGTATACTTTTGGGGATTTTTTATTTAGTACCAAAATTTCTCAGTTCATAGGCATTGCTGAGAAAGAAAATAAAAGTAAGAAAATAAAAGGTAAGACTTGAACTACTAAGAAGAATGCAATGAGGTTTAACCATGAAGCAATGCTAGACTGTAAAGAGAAAAGACGGTAACACTGGAAATCCTGAAAAAGTTAGAGCAGATATACCCAGAGGAAGGAGATGAGAGAGAAGGAATGATGGGCTGTTGTGGTTGGAGAGTGACTTACTGAAGCTTAAGATTTTTGACAGGCAATGACAATATCCAGAATGTGGCCCTGAAAATGGTTTGGAGATATACCATCATTCGGTAGTAGAAATCATAGAAATGTGTCTGCATGTCAGAGCTGTGAACCACAGAGATACTACAAGCACATAAGATGATAGTGGCCCTGAGGTTTGGGGGGGAAATTACATCCCAAGTGCCAAAGACCTAAATAAACATGAAGGTCTACAGATGGCTGGGGAGGGTTATATAACTTTACAGAACTCACCCCGTGAAGTAAGTGCGTGAGGTGTGAGGTTATGGAAGCAATACTGAGAAGCATACTTGATTCTGGCATGCTCTTTCTCTGCTTGAACTCTAATCCCTGGCCCCAACACCTCAGGAAAACCTGTAGAACATGGTAATTGAGAAAATATGCAGTTTATACTTGAGAGGATCTCAAGGAAGGAAATGGCACTCCTGTTTTAAATGATATATGTGATTAGGGTAAATCTTGTTTTATAAAATAAAATAGAGGTTGCAGTATTTTCAATGGAAAGATAATAATGGATAAATTATTCAGTAAAGGAAAGTCAGTCATGCATTGAGGGACCATGTTTAGGAGAGAAGTAACCATTTAGGACAGCAGTGAAGAAATACAGGGTGAAAGTCATACGAGGTTATCCTCTCTGTGTTCTGTCGTGAACACTAGGTATTAATTAACTCATTTATTAAGGATTGGCTATGTATCTGATATTTTTGCTAAGACAACTTGCTTCCCTACAAAGTCTTCCTATGCAAATACAGACTTTGAATTTTCCTTTAGATTCATTGGCATTCACTCTTTGCTTACCAGTCAAAGTTTCAAATAGAACGCTGTGTGAAACCTGTTTGCATGAGTACTAGCTTATGGTAGGCCTAAGCCAGGATGGAAATATCTGGAATACCTGTTATCTTCCAAATTGACAGAGCCTGGCTCGGTGTTCAATTTTGTACTTACTGAATTCATCAGTGTAGTGTATGTTCAAAGAAGTTAAACCTGGAGTTAGGAAGTCCTTAGAGATCAGCAAACCAAATCACAGTCTTATTCCTTTCCCACTAAAGCAGTGAGAACAGGAAATCCCAAAAAGGGAGATTTCATTCCTAAGGTCCCCAGTCCCTCCTCTAAGACTTCCTCTATTCGGTGTCCCAGAGATCTTTACTGTCAATCAGAAACCAATGAAGCAAAGCAAAACAAAAGCAGTTCCCCTTTTGACCCAGCAAAATGATGTCTTTATTTTGTTCATTGCCTATAACCATTCTGTCCTAGCCACAGAAGCTCAGAATTTATCTTTGATTTTCCTTATAGGTTTGTGATTACCCGACCAGCCAATGACCTTAAGTTGCTGCCTTCAGATCTTGTGTTTTGTGCCATCCCTTTCAGCACTGTCTGTGAAAAAAAGGATGGTGGTTCATCTCAACCAATACATGAAGTTCAAAATATTGTATCAAGAGAATCATCGATGAATGCAAACCTAAGTTATCCTACTGCGGTTTACCCAGTGAGTGAGAGTACGCCACAGAAATTGTTTAGTTCCGTCCAATCTATGGAGGTAAAACCTTCTTTCTTTTCTGAAACTCAACAAGCAACGCCTAGTTTGAGTTTTAGGCTCTCAACCGACACAAAGGCTAATGAAAATGTGAAAGAAAATGAAAAGGAAAACATGAAGGAAACCCTGAAGGAGAATGCACCATAGTGTCCAAGCTAAACTGGACCCATTGATATTCTCCACAAACTTCTAATCTGATACTAACAAGGCATCTCCAAAGATGATGACTTTGAACAAAGAAAATAAAAATGGAAGCATGCCACTTTTGTGCCCATGGCTTGCTGGGTGGTTGACCAGCAAGCCACACTGTTTTGGAAGAGACCAAAATCTAATCTTGTCCCACTGGATCTGGTGTGATAAATAAAGAGATATATGATAAATGCTATTAAGGGAAATTCAATGGTCTATTTCCTTTGAGCAAAAAATGGGCTAGTTTGGGTTGCATTTAAAGAAGTCGTCCAGGTAGAGAGATGCGGATTGAAATTGGAATTAATTTGTTGGTAACTAAGACTTACGTATGTACTGGTACATAATAGGTATATAGTAAGAATGACTATTAAAGCATCTTGGAATGGGATGCCTGGGTAAAGTCAATTAGATTGAAATAGGTAGACTTTCAAATTCCCTAACTCAGAAAAAGAGACATTATTGCATGAAAAGTTTAAAGCATTTCCCCATAGTTCATGTTCTAAAATAAACCAATCCACTGCTCTTAAACTTCTCTTCAATCAAGCCATTTCCCCTAGGTATTACTCTATTAACACAATAAGCAAAACTTCAGCGCATCAAAGAAATATCCACTACCAGTTGATAGTCTTGGAATGATGAGTTTGGTAAACAAAGCTTTCTTGCAAAGGGAAGAAGAAAGGAAATAATGAACTATATTTCTCATAAACTATTTTACATAATGTTTACTATATCCCTTAAATATTAGCATATTTGAGGATTTTGTCTCATTACCTTTGTTTTTACAAGGAAGAAAGTGCGTCACACACACGTCACCAAATAAAATGAAGCACACCCAGTTAAATTTGAATTTTAGATGAACAACAAATAATTTATAAGTATGTCCAAGCTATTCACTTAGCTAGTCAGCGATCAAATCAACATTCAAATGGTTTGACTTGGGCACTTGGAGACATTATGCCTTCAAATGTACAAATAAAAGAAACAGAATAAACTAAAATAAAAACAAAGACATTCATCCATAGAAAAAAAATGCATTAGTTAAGCCTTGGCTGTAGCAAAATCAACTCAATCTATATAGAAAAGAGAGTAATTGTCAGGGAACAAAGGAAATCCTTTTCCTTCCTTCCTTTCTTCCTCCTTTTTTTCTTAATTTCTAATTCCCTTTCTTCCTTTCTTATTTTCTTTTTTATTTTCTCCTTCCTTTATTCCCTCCCTCCCTTTTCCTCTCTCTTTCTTCACTTCTTTCTTTCTTTCTTTCAAGGGTACCTACATCTTCATCCTACTCTCATTTTATCCTTTCTTTGTTTTTTCATACACATAGCACAATCTAGTTTCCTACAATTTGAAATGTATCCGTAGAGTAATGCACACTTCACCGACTGTCTGTGAATCTCCAATAATAATTCTTGAAAGCATATGATGGCCTCAGCTTTGGCCCCTCCATTCCAAAATGCTAACACCTGAGGAGCAGTGTGCCTCTAAAGAGAGTATTGTCCTCATGGAAGGGAGGATGGCTTGTGGCCGAGGAAGACAGGGCACTAAAGTCTGCAAAAAAAGATAGCATTATTCCCCTTGTCCATTTTATACCATGGGCATTAAAATATACAAAGCAGGTTTAGCAACAGCAAAATATTCCTAACAAAGAAACTGCGGTTTAGCCCTATGGATATTCAAGATCCACAAACCACTGCTATACATATATTGACCGATTTGCTTAGCACCCCGGCTTCAGTTCTCCTGAGTAAAAACCTCCATGTGACTACATTTCAACAGAGTAGACCAATTCAAAATATAAATACTTTGTTTTTTTATAATTCATAGGAATAAGTTCCAGAAATCTAGCTAAAGTAATATTAAGGTATAGCGGATGTGTGAGCATTCATATTACCACTCTCAATACATAAAATCATCAGAGTACCCCTAAACTCATTTGTCAAATGATTCCATACTCCAGAACCAAATTATTCACCTACAAATGACATTTTAATATGACTCATACCATCAGATCCTTTGGCAATGTAGTGGTAATTACTTAACACTCATTAAGAGTAGAACCAATATGAAGACAAGGGTAAAAAGACAACAAACACATGCTACAATATTTAAAGCTTACAAATACATGCTACAGTATTTAAAAATTGTTGAGGTTTTGGCATTGTCAAAACTGGATGAAAGCTACATATTCCTTACTCAGAAAAAAATTATGTATGTATATAGTCCACAAAATTTTTTACTTAAATAGAAGGCAGGTCATGGATCCACCTATAGTCTATATAAAGATTTTCATTGACCAGAAGAAAGATCACCAGAAAGAACAGGGCAGGGGAGTCAAGAGTCTTGAATATTTTTTTAAACATCTCATTAATCATTTTTTAAACTATTGGTAAATTATTAAACCATTCTTGGCTACTTTCTACAAATCAGGGCACACAGTTCTTCATTAGAAAAGAAAAAGGAAACTTAGAGTTTTTTTTTTTAATGTGATAAGCCTTTGGTCAAAAAATTAAATCAGAATAGTAATCTGGAAGTAATCCTCATAAATGAGTCAGGAGAGAAATTATTTTACTGTTTGTAAAAGGAGAATGTAACTCTAGAAGATTAAGAACACTGCTTCCATATTTATTTATTGAATTTGTATATTCCCTACCACCATACATCAGGCAGGGTACTAGATGCTGAGGAAAAAGTAGTGATCAGGGAGTCAAAAGAAGTAGATGAGAACCAGGACCCTAATTAACCATCAACTACTGGGAGGGGCCACCTCATCTGTGAAAGACTCACTAGATTGCTTTCACTGACCCAAGAAAGGAGCAAGGAGATTTATCTTCACTTAGGAATGTGGGTCCAAAAAACACCAATCATGAGGAATCTCCAAGCTCATGTCATGAGCTAGTGAAGTATCCACATTTATATCATGTTATGGCAGGAGTTTAAAACTGCATAAATAATGTGAGGAAAATCTGATTGCAAACCAGTGTGATAGTAGGAGCAAATGTGACTCCATTTTGTTTTATGACTCCATTCTGTAAAACAACCATGCCAAGTAGAAGAGTCATGACTGGGGCAAGATGTTTTTCCTTTTGCTATAGAAACCTTTAAGAACACGGAACTACCTAATGGGGCATTGTTTCTGTAACTAGGGTAACGGGGCTCTGTTTCTGTAACTGGGGTGACTGGGCTAACTGTGATTGGTTAGGCTTCCCTCCACTTGACTGCTCTGTCCCGCTTCTGTAACCTGGCTTGCTTGCATTGGCTAGACCCCAAACATCCCTTTTGTGGTTTTCGGGCTTATAAGGAGTGCCCTTGCAATTGTTCGGGGCTGATCAGGGGAACAGCTTTATGTTCTGATCAGTTGCCACTAGTGTGCTTCAATAAAGGCTTGATTCGATTATACGTGAGTGGTCTGGAAGTCAGTTCATGAAACCCTGGGACAAAGCTTTAACTATAACACCAGCAACATTCTTGAGGTAACTAGTTGAAAGAAATCTTGCAGGAAAGATTTCTACAACTCAGGACATACAGGACTCCATCAAGAAAAAAAGAAAAGTAAGTTCAAAACTTCAAAAAACAATAATCTCATAGTAGAAAAAGTAAATAAATTAGAAATGACATGAGAAAGTCATGATTCGCATAAGTGAGAGTTGGAAGATAAATCAAACTAGAAGGTTAGCATGACCCTAGACTTTGGATATTAGAACAATCTGAAAAAGACCATAAAATTGTTGTATTTAATATGATGAAATTGTTTTAGAATATGATTACAAGTCATAATGAAAGAAGAGGTAACTGTGAAAAAATGAACAGGTAGACTTGAAAAGAACCAAAATACCAGAAATAATTAAATTAAAAATTAAATTTATAAGTTGAGCAATAAATTAGATAAATATGAAGAATGTAGCTAAAATTCATGTTGAAGAGAGAATGGAAAATATGAATGAGAGGTTAAGAGACAATAGATGGAAAAATATGAAAATGTACAATATACAAATCATTCATTTCCACAAAGGGAGAATAAGAAAAATGAAAAAAAATCTTATACAATTTAGAATTAATAAATAACAAGAATTCTATGATTTAAGAAGTCTAATGAATTATCAGCAGGAAAGTTAAAACAAATTCACATGTATGTATATCTATATCCATACCTAGACAAGACAGCAGTTTTTTTCTAAGGAGATTGCTACTGAGAAATTGAAGGAGAATAAAGATAATGGCCTAGCAACATCAAAAATAACATGGGTGGGGTTGGGGCTAGGGCCCAGTGGTAAAGCACTTGCCTAGTATGTGCAAGGCACTGGGTTCAATCCTTAGCACCATATTTTAAAAAAAAATAAAGGTATGCTATCTATCTACAACTACAAAAAAGTTAAAAAAAATAAAAGAGATATAAAAGTATACTATGCTACCTATGTTGCCACTCAAGAGGGGAACACATAAATGCTTACCATTTTAATGGCTGAGAACACATAACTTAGAGACTTTTATTGAAAGAACTAATAAAAAATATATTTCAGTAGGAAGAGAATGAACTTTAAAAGATGGAGTAATACTTAAGAAACTATGATGAGAAAATAATTGAAACTTATTGTAAACATATATCAGTTATAGTAATAATGGTAATAACTTGGGAAGAGTTAAAAGTAAATTAGCACTAACAAAGAAATAAGAGAGGATATGAAAGAGATGATCAAGTAAAATTCAAAAATTGTAGCATTTTTCAGAAAGAACATAGAGATAATAATTGACTTTAACATCAAACAAATCACGTAAACATTTAGATAATAAACCAGAAAAACAGGATATGAGTTCTATATCAGCTGAGGGAAGCTAAACAGAAAAAAAGATGAAAATAGAATATAAAAACAGTAACAATTTAGAATTTTTTAAAAAATTAATGGATTATATGTAGAAAACAAAATTTAAAAAGATAGTGATAATTGTGAACATTTGACATTAAACAGATATAAATGAGTCAATCTTGTTAGGTGAAGGACAGATTTTCAGATTATACTTTTAAAACAGATATATACTAGTTATAGCAGAAAATAGGATTCAGAAAATGTAAAACTGGAAATAAGTAAAAAGATATGTTAGAAAAATATGAACATTTGGGTTGTTTCTATTTGGGGGCTATTATCAATAATGTTGTTTGTGTAGACTAGGGTACAAGTTTTTGTGAGAACATTCAATGATTGTGAATTGTTAT